AATAGTCTCCTTCACGGTTACCTGCGCCATCTTGAAAGGTAGCCGTGCCTTGTCATCGAAGCGAGACAACCGTTGAGCGTGCAATGATAGAAACCTTCTTTCACACCTATAGACAATTATTCACAGGTATCTATCATTGCACGCTCAACGGTTGTCTCGCTTCGGTGCAAAGGCACGGCTACCTTTCAAGATGGCGCAGGTATCCGTGAAGGAGACTATTATCAGCCGTGCAAGACCCTACAACAACATATCCAAACGATGCGACCTCTGCCTTACAGAAAAACTTATGATAATTAAACACAGTAACGACAATATACTAAACAAAAGATCAGAACTCATCTCTAAATGCCGACACGAAAACAAATTCTACCTGAAGAACACTTGACACCTCTACAGCCTATTGTATTCACACCTATGCAGTTTTAATTAATAGTATACTCTCTTTTGTAATTTTTACCTTCACACCTATTGTTTCTAGCATAACTATCACGTATTGTATGTAAATAGCTTAGCCTTTTGTTCTATAGCATGTATATATATCTAGATTATAGGAATGTTTATCATTAAATACTATCTGATGAGTGCGTAGCACGAAACTCGGAGTTACAGCAAAATCTTGCCTCTTTGATATCATATATATAACTAGCTATACACTTTTTGTGTATTGAGCACTCTTTAATGGGATCAGCTACTTCCTCATACGATTATATACTAAATATGAATATTTTGTCGCTGTAACATCAAAGAACTATCAGAAATAAACGTTGTTTTAGAGTGGTTCTCATTAACCCGTGAAACAAAGTGTAATAGTCAAAGTGTAAAAAAGTGTAATAGCCAAAGAAATATAATAGAGAATAAAAGAGACAAAGCGTAATAAAGTGTAATACGCTAAAGTGTATTTCATGGGTTAATGAAAACCACTCTAGAACTCTGGACAAAATTGGAAAAAAGTTACGGTGAAATAAATATACAAAGAAATGTATGTAATTTTCAGCCAAGGCCTTTATAGCCTCGTTSTGGTGTTATGATATATTTTCAATCCTTGTAACTTCACCAGAATTTAATATTTTCATTTCAAACTTTTATGTGTTGTTATTAGTACAGGTTCTTATCAGCTGTTAGTTTACTTTGACTAAAATTCTAAATTTTAAAAATTTATGTTAATTAGATGGCGACCATTATGGTAAAGGCGTATATCGGATCGGAATTTCTGTCAATGTATTTTGGTGCAATTTCTATACTTGGCAATGTATATTTCACGTGTTTTTGACTTCACTCTAACGCTTGTAGCTAGATAWTGAAATCAGTTTAATGTACTGGATCAGATTTTTTTTAACTAAAAACAACTGAGTATATCAACCGTTTGAATAAGGTACCTATAATATGCCCGGACAACCCTCATAATATGTACTTATTGACTG